CCATGAGAAAGGAATGGATTTTTTTGTGTGTGTGGTCGAGGCTGTCAGAGTTCATTTGTTGCTGATTAATTTGTGCTGTTCTTGGCCACCCCATTCTCAACACATGCATTCATAATTCCTAAGGAAATGGGGACTGAAAAGGATGGATGAACCAAGTGCCTAGTGAGCTGGGTCCCAGAGACCTGAGCATCCATTCTCTGTAAAAACCTAGGGCACCACCTGCATCTATACATTCGGTATCCTAGAATTTCCCGGAGCCAGAGACTTCGATGGAAAAGAGTTGAGTCACTTGAGAACAAGCACATCCCAGAAAGAAAAGAAAGAGAATATGTAACTCCTAAGGTTTGGGGAGAAATAATGCTGGGCAAATTAATACCCATCGTTAACATTCTTTGGAACTGTGAGAAAGCCATGGAGATAACCAAAAGAGGCGCCAGGGAGACTTTGAAGGAATGTATGTGACATAGATCATATTACATTCATTTGTTTGACATCTAGAGCTAAGAGCTCTCTTTCAGGAAGGAGAATTAGTGGCCTAATAGTTTTAAATCATGATTCCCTAAGGCAATTTGCTGATCCCCCTAAAGAGCCGTCAATAACCTCTTGATGGAATTATAATGTTTCTGAGTTGGGGGAAAAAATGGAATAGGCTTCATATCTGAATAACTAAATCACACAGATTGGACTTTCTTTTAAAAGTAAATAAAAAAGTATAGACAAGGCTCAGATTGCTTATAGAGGAGACAGGAGTTAGGATAAATGAAATGATCACTATTTTAATGCCTCACACTGCTATTTGGTAGTGAAAAATAGATCTTTCATCCAAGCCCTGCATCCATCACTGGTTTACACCAGAACTTTGCATAGATCCCTATAGGAGAGAAGAAAGAGGAGATGAGCAAAGAGATGGAAATGTTTTCAGACCAGGCTGCTTGGCACCTTGGAATTTCATGCAAAATATTCAGCTCACCATTAGTGCTTTGGCTGTTTTGAATGAAACACAGCGGGTCCATAAATACTTCCCACAACCCTGGACTTGCTATCATTTTTGTTGTTGTTGTTGTGGGATTCATCTATTCTATAGTATTTTACAACTCAGGGTCTCTAATGAGAGGAAGGGCATGAAACAGACTTAGATTTAAGGTCACAAAAGCCCAAACATTACAAAGGAAGACTCTTATAATCTGTATTGTTTGAAATATGCATTTCAATTATTATATTCCTACAAAGGAATTAATAGGGTTTTCCTATGTATGTATTCCTTTTTCCCCCCTTTCACTCATGATTTACATGGTGCTAGAAAATACACAAACTGCCAAGTCTTCCATATTTGTTGATTGGCAAGGACTATTTTTGAGGTATTGCTGCTTTTATCTTCACAGAAAATATTTGGGGTGGAGGGGAATACTGAGTCATAATTGAGGCAAAACTCAAAGGATATGATTAACCCCAGGGGTCTTCTTGTGGCAACCTGCCTATTGCTGCTGAATTGCAAACCAGAATTTACAAATAATTACAATATTGGTTTTGCTGAAATTACCCATAATGATTTCAGTCCCAGCTGCCACCCCAGAACCTTGAGATTCTCTATGGCAGACCAGAATTTACAAATAATTACAATATTGGTTTTGCTGAAATTACCCATAATGATTTCAATCCTAACAGCCATCTCAGAACCTCGGGACCCTATAAATAATTTTCTCTACTAATGTTTTCAATTAAGCAATGAGCCTCTTGAATACCCAGGTCCCATTGCTTCTCCCATGGTCCCTCGTTTGTCAGGCATGGCTTGATACAGGAAGATTAGGAACGATTCTTAACCTTATTTATAGTCCTATTTATAAGAGCAAGCAGCAGACTGTGGAAGGAAGAGAGAAACAAATGGTTGATAAACTACTCTTGCTGAATCTTAGAATATATGTGTAGCAAATTACAGAGCTAGAAAGTTGATCAAAAATCTCTGTGATGTTAGTTGAAAATGGCATTCCTGTAGGAACACCATCATAAGAAAGGTTATTTTTTTTTTCCTGTCTCAAGGCCTCAGTATTTTTTTAAATGGTCCTAGCTCAGTTTTATCGTTTGTCTAGCGAACATGTCTTATTTATCTCTGAGGCTTGTGATAGAGTGCCTAATATCTAGTAAGCACACAATATACTTTTTGTGGACTAAATCATAGACCACATACTCTAAGAGGTTTGCCTGTATAGTATGTATGATATAAAATGCTCTAAATTCTATGAGAAAAGAATACATGCCAGAGTAATATGGTATTCTCTCAGCTGAACTAACAAATTATAATGTTCTCAATATGGTAAGTTTATAGAACTATAGTACAGTTTTTATGGTGATGTGTGTGTGTGTGTGTGTGTGTGTGTGTGTGTGTGTGTGTGTGTGTGTGTGTGTACTTCCAATTCTAATTTTTCTAAACCAAATCCAAAGATGAGAGAGTATCTTCCTCAGGGCTGTTGGGCCTATAGGGATTTTTCAGAGAGATTTTTGTTCCTATGTCTTTAAAGAGACTTAAAAGTCTTATTTCAAAGATAGAACTCTTTTTTAGAGAAATGTTGTTAAAATTAGAAAGCAAAAAGTTGATGACTTTGTGCCTTAGAGAAAGGATGCATCTCCCTAACATTGGCCGAAGGTCACACACCTGTTAAGTGTTCGGTCTTCTGTGATGTCAGAGAAAATAGCCAGGATACCATTGCCAGTTCATTCTAGTGAAGTCACATCGCTGTGGCCCATGACAATGGGGCCGGAAGGGGTTCTTGCAGATTGTCTAATCCAGTACTCCTGCTTTGCATCATACCTCCCATGCTGCAGAATTCAGAGGAATTCGGGCATTTGGGGGTAGTGATTTAGCCTTGGAAACCCCCATTGCTCCATTCCAAGAGGAAGCAGTAAAGATGGTGCAGTAGAGCAGTAGCTGCAGGCACATCTCTGGAGTCTCCCATTCTTGGATGTGGTCCTTGGCTGGTGGGGATGTTGGAAAGGCCACCAGCACTGCCTGGTAAACCCCATCCTTCCCTTCCTACGGCAGGTAGACCATCCAAAGTACACTGGGATTCTCAGGGCAGAAGGTTACCATGACTAATGTCTACCATGACTATTGTCCCTTTCCATCCATCTTAGGGCCACCCTTGTCCAATTTTACCTGGGACTAAGGAAGATCTCACAGGATGTTGAACTTGCAGTGATGCTTTTGGCTGGGATGAGTTGTTGGCCCCAAGTCAGTCTGAAAATAGAATTTACCCAGCTCCACTGTGGCTTCTCCTTCCAATTGCTTAGCATTGCTGCACACACCCAGAGTTCCTGCCTTACTCTACAATAAACTGCACTTGGACTTTGTTTTTTCTCACTGGACATTCATAGCTCAGCTGATGTAACTGAATCACTGTCCAAGGCTCAGAAGAGTCCAGAGGATTTTGAAAAGCCTCCAGATGTTGACATGTCTAAACCAAAAGCCTGAATATTTACCATAGAACACTTGGGATCAGTAGCTAGATAGAGGCTTAACCAAACAGGCCAAGTCTTCGCCTTGTCTCTATATTCTGTTTTTATTTTCCTTTGATGACAGGTTGTAGAAAACAGATCAGAAACGTGGCTTTTCCTGAATCCCCTTCAGCAGGTCCTCCCTGATTCAGCTTTTATATGTTCCTGTTGCCACTATTTCTTAAAACTAAATGTGCACGCAGATAACTCGTTATCTGTGTTTCTGACCAACTTCAGGTGCTCTATGGATGTGGCCGGTGCTAGGGGCTTAGGAGTAGAGCTCCATTAGCTCCCTCTCTCTTGTTCTGCTTGTGTCAAAGGAAGAGGATCCCAAGGTAACTCTATAGGGCACCCAGGCCTTTACATCGTTCATGGCTGGGTTGTGGAATGGAGTGATTAAGCCAGTGGATAGATGGCCAGCTTCTTCCTGGCTCTCCCGTCACCCATTTGTGGTTCTGTTTTCCAGAGCACACACCATGGTGACCACCCAGAAGTCCATTGTCCTCTACCCTCCCTGAGTGTTTTGAGAATGGGAAGTAAATGAGCAGAGGTGGCCTCTTCCAGGAAATCCAGGATTCCCACATGCCAAGTTAATTTTAACTCTTGCTATCAGATATTCTCCTACTTTGTTGCTTTCTACACATACTGATAGCAGAGTGTCTCTTAAATTAAGTCAGTGTCTGACCGAAGAACCAGCCCAGCCTCGGTTAATTTGTCCAGCACCAGTTCATCCTCCTTCCCCAGCTTGGATCTCACAATGCTAAAGCCTAAGCAAGTGTATACCGCAAATAAAGAGCAACCTCAACTGATTTCTGTTGAGCCATGCCCAGGCCATTTGTTCCCTCTCCTCTCCACAAAGAATAAGAACTCTGATGATCATGGCTTTAATAAATCCAAGTACCATGGATTACCACTCACTCACTCAGTTGAGCCATAAATGCAGTGTGCTCATAGGAAACTTGCCTATGGCAAGTTGTGCTTTATTTAACCACCGCTGGAAACTTATTTTTATAACCTAAGCAGTAAAACTTAATTCATGCAAAGCTAGTTGGAAGAAAGCAGTATCATTCATTCCTGTTGGGTTGGGCCCTAGGGCCTTGGAAGTGAATGATGGATTCAGGGAAAACTGATATTTTAAGGAAAATAATAATGATAATAATAATTTCCTGGATGTAGGATTTCCACTCAAACACTTAGAATATTTTCCCCATACGTTAGGCTGTCGGGCAGGATATGTCAGAGTTCTAAAAATCAAATCTGTAGTTTGAGAGCAGCTGAAAGAAAACACAAGTACCAGTGAAGAAGAGAGAGCAAACCTTTTCTAACCAGAGAAAGGGGTGGTGCTAAGAGGGAGAAGATAAGACTAAGGCAGCTAGGTGGAGTTCAGCATTTCATGCTTACTGCTTTATTTTTGGTTAAACCATGTGAATTTCCAAAAGAGAAGCCCCCCGCCCCATCACCGCACCCCATTCTATTCCCAAATGTCACGTTGAGTCTGCTGGCTGTTTCAGGGGAACCCAGTGCACCAAAGCTCGAAGGGCAGATGGGCGAGGACGGGAACTCCATAAAGGTGAACCTGATCAAGCAGGATGATGGTGGCTCTCCCATCAGGCACTACCTCGTCAAGTACCGAGCGGTAAGTGGCCTCCCTCTCCAGACCTGCCCTCGCACTAACACCTGATGTGTGTCTTACAGGCAATATGGGGGCCTTGGTCAGGATTTTGAATCCCAAAACTAACCTGTAGCTGTTAAACTATGTCCACGCTGAGACCTACTTGTTTGGTTATTTCTTATTTCAGTTCAATTAGCATCATTTTATATGGCCATATATGCATAGCTATCGTGGTCCTCTGCTAGAACTATCCAACACATACACTAATTATTACAAATGAGGCAAACTGGTTGAAAACTTTTTTTATTTGTATATGTTTTTATTGTAAAAATACTGTGCAGAAGGGTTACACTTACATGAGTAAGGTAATGAGTACATTTCCTATCGAGCATTGTTACCTCCTCCTTTGTTTATCCCCTAGCATCCCTTCCCTCCCCAACTCCTCCCCCTGCCCTTGAAAAACTTTTCAAAGTGAGGTGGTACCAAACCCACACCATGATTGGTTTGCCTTCTGCTTGAACCTTTCTACACAGCCATTCGTCTATGATCAAGTACTTTTGTGAAAATGTCACACGACTATTGAATAACTGCTCATTTTGATCAAGTGTAGCTTGCAGGGAAGGCTCTGTCTGAAGGCATCTTCTTTATACAAAGACCCCCATGGGGAGGGTGTCTTATTGTTAACGCCATTCGATAGATGAAGCAACTATGGTAATCAGTGATTGGCAGTCTCCACTCAGTGGGGTGAGCCTGAACTTGAATCCAGGCTTGACTGAAGAGCCTGAGCTCTTTCCCTGCCCAAGCAGTCTTCAAATTTTAACACAGCATCTGTTTCCTCGCCTGTATTTTGTCTCTCTACCTCAACCAGTCTACTTGTGCTGGCATTGAGCTTGGATCTACACCTATCCTTCCAGTTGCTTTCCTCCCTTCTACCCAGCTCTCTGCCTCAACCTCCCAATAGAACCCCTTTCTCCATTGTTTTTTGTTTTAGTTTTAGCATAATACTTGGGCATCCACAACCGCACGCCAGTTGTTACTGGGAGATTTAGAAACAGTGTCTGTCCATTGCAGATAATCTTGTTGCTAGGGCTTCTTACCACTAGAAGATAATGAGCTAGAGAGAAGTTTTTGCTTTCTTCATCAAACCGAAATAAATTTGGGGGGTGAGTTGTTATTGTTTGTTTATTGTCTGCAAGTTGGCTTATTCCCTCCCTGTCTACCCCTCTGGAAGTGACATGTAGTTTTTAGAGTCTAAGGCATACATAGAGCCAGCGGGTACAAGTAGGTTCTCAGTCAACCCAGTTGGTATTCTCATTTTATCTCTAAGTCAGCTGGTTTAAGAGGGAAAGCATCAGCTGAGTTCCCTGAGGCCTAGCTCAGAGGTATCACTGAAAGACGTGTCTCCTCACCTCAGGGATGGATGCAGGACTGGGCAGGTGGCCTTGCATCCAGGCCTTGCTGGAATCAGAGGAATGAAAGAGCGAAATGCCTCTGGCCATTATTAGGCTAATGTGGCCTGGTTAGAAGAGCCTGGGTCTTATAACCAACCAGGCATAGCATCCAGTTCCAGCATCTACACCTCAATAGACCATTCCATACCTGCAGACCTCCATTTCCCCATCTGTAAAATGGGGATAGAATAACTCACCACGTTGCTCTAAAGACTCGTTTTAATATATGCAAGGAACCTGAAATGTACCTGACACTCGGGAGCCTCTATAAATGGAAACTAATTACTGCTAAAGATGCCAGCTCCAGCTGGAAATATCTCCTCTGTCAGATCGCCTGAATGGCTTACAGCAGCTGCGCTAAAAAAAGACAAGGGCGGGGGGGGGGGCGGGAATAATGCTGAGATATTTTATATCCCAACAACTTACACTCTTCTCTCTTTCACTTCAACGCTTAATGTTTGCTAAATATTATCATATATTAATATGTATGATACAACAGAATGCTTACTTTATTGAGTGCTTGCTTTATTGTCTGGTTGTCTCTTCTGTAACGATGTTTGCTTGGGAAGACAGAAGAGCAAAGACAGCCAGCTCAATTTCTTAGTTCAGATTCAAACAGGGCTTTGTAGTGATTATACACAAACCTTATTTTTGTTTTAGATTTTAGGAAACCACAATTGTCTTGCCCACATTTCCCCTGTCAGCATGCACACTCACATCCCTAAGTCCCATTTTGAAGTTTTGAACTAACTATCTTGCACTGATAGGGCCCCTTTGCTGTAAGGTAACTGTTCATCCAGCCTCAGCCCAGGGCCCAGGGCCTAGGGTGATTGCTGAGCCACTTCCTAGTCTTCCATGGAGCAGCATGTTATTTAGTAAACATTTGTCAGACCTCTTTCTTGTCCGGCATGTACCTTGGGCATATCATTTCTGAAAAAATCAGAAGGAGCCAGGAACCCACGTGGCATGCCACAGTAATCCTACCTACCAAAGATTCTGAGATTGAGAGGGTCAAGATCAAGAGCCAAACTGGGCAGCAAAGTCTGTGAAATTCCATCTCTATTAATCAATTAAAAAACAAAAACAAAAACAAGCTAAGCTGGCCACCAGTGGCTTACACCTGCCTGTAATCCTAGCTACACAGAAAGCTGAGATCTAAGGATTACAGTTCAAAACCAGCCAGGGCAGGAACATCCCTGAGGCTCTCATCTCCAATCAACCACCAGGAAACCAGAAGTGGTGCTATGCCTCAAAGTTGGTAGCATGCTAGCCTTGTGCAAAAGAGCTCAGGGACAGTGCCCATGCTCTGAGTTCAAGCCCCGTAGCTGACAAAAGAAAAGCCAACATGGAGGTATGGTTTGAATGATAAAGCACCAGCCTTGAGCAAGCAAACTAAGCAGGAATGCATGGACCTCAATTTAAGCCCCAAAACAAGCATACAGAGAGAGAGAGAGAGAGAGAGAGAGAGAGAGAGAGTCAGATTGTGCAGCTGTGTGTGAGCTATGCAGTTGTGAAACTATCTGAAGACTCCTCGGGAAGTCTGAGTCTTCTCCCACTTCTTTAATTGAGATGCAGTTGCCTAGCAACAGCTTTGTAATCTCCCCTTCAGTACAGACTTCCTGACATATGTGTAGGCTATAACTGGAAAGAGCATAGGATGAGAAGAAAGGGGGCTCCCAGAACTCTAGCTTTGTGCCTCTCATTCTGCCCTGGGCAGTGCTTGCTAGGCTGAATGAGGCACTCCTCTGGGCCTTCTGAACATCCCACAGGGTTGAGTCTGACAGCAAATCCTCATCTGTCCAGCTGCAGGCTGTAGCCACCAGACCGCATGTCATGGAATATTTGTATACATTTGCTGAGCACTTGCTACAGAAAGTGAAGAAGACAGCTTCAGGCTGTGTACTGGACTTGTGAGGTGACTTTGGAAAGCCACCCAGCCTGGCCGTTACATCCCCATCATCAAGTTTAATAGGAGCTTCACCGCCCCCTCTAGACTTGTGGCCGGGACTCAGTGAGAAAATGTGTGGGGACAGACTTCCACAGGGCAAGCGCCTGACACGCTGTAGGTGCTCAATAAATGACAGTGCCTATTTGTGGTAAAACTGGAATCTATGCAGCATTCACCTGTCCGAAGGTGAGGTACACACCGGAATGGGGGCAGCATTGTGAAATATGACCAGAAACATGACTCTTCTAGGAAATCCTTGTGCATCCCAGAATGCAATCCTTTACGAACACAGCAAACCTCGCCTCCTGATCTGTGTGATCCTTAAGACTTCTCAGGCTCAGTAAAAATGAATTCCCAGGCCCTGTACTTGCTTCCTGATTTTGTGGTTTTTGCATCATTATTTGTTTCGGCTTGGGGTTGTTTTGTGTGTTTTATTTGCTTTTTTGTCCTCCTGCTTAGCAATACTGAACTTTGTACTCAGAGCCTTAGTGTTCCTAGGCAGGTATTATATCACTTGATACCTATTCTCCAGGCCTCTATTTTTTTGTTTTGCTTTAGGCTATTTTTCAGATAGGGTCCTGTGTTTTCCTCCTGGGCCCACCTGAACCATGATCATCCTAGCTGCAAGCCTAGCATACCACCATTCCCAGCGTGTTGGTAGAAATGGAGCCTATATTGGCTCGGGCTGCCCTCCTAGCCTTCCTGATCTCTGCCTCCCAAGTCGTTAGGATTATAGGCATGAGCTACCATCCCAGCCCTAACACCAGTCATTATTTTTTACTCTTGTAGTAGCCAATCCTGCCAAGATTGTTTATTAAAGCTCTCTGGTGTCTCCTGTCCTTCCTGCCAATTTTTCCCAGAAGCTCTCCTCCGAATGGAAACCAGAGATCCGGCTCCCCTCTGGCAGTGACCACATCATGCTCAAGGCCCTCGAATGGAATGCTGAGTATGAAGTCTATGTGGTGGCCGAGAACCAGCAAGGAAAATCCAAGGCGGCTCACTTTGTGTTCAGGACCTCGGCACAGCCCACGGCCATCCCAGGTACACCTTGCTCCCTCTGCTTTCTGTAGTGTCCTGCTTTGAATTAATGCACACATGCTGCACTCCTAATGCGCCTGAACAGCCCTGACAATCGCTTGCTTACAGCCGTCCTCATGACTGGTTGCCCATGCCAAGCTTAGTTTTGCCTTGTAGCTCTCTGTGCAGTGGGTTGAGATGTGCTTGACCGGCCCCAGGAGAGCTAAGCCAAGCATCCTGGGGAGAGGGTCCTGTCTCATTCAGCCGTGAACGGCCGAATGCTAACCAGTTTATAAGCCTACTTAGATGGAAATGCCTTGCCTCAAACACAGATTGAGGAAGGAGCCTAATGAGACTTTATCTGCTAGCTGCCTCCCATACCAGGACCTAGTATCTTTTTTTCATATGCCTCCTATCTGATGCTTGCTTTAACTGCACAGCCATGGTCCAACTCTCTTCTCTTTGGTGACCCCAAGAGAAGGAAGAGACAGTGTCCAGTGAGTGACAGACATGAAAAACAGAGAATAAACTGAACCTCTTGAAATGAACAGGTAGACGAGCTAGCATCTAGAAAACACCATCAGTGGAAGTCTGTTAGACTGTGGTGTCAGCATTTGTCCTGGCAGGTGACATATCTGTCTCTAGGGAATCAGAGCTGACTTGAGTTCACTCGAGACTAAAGTGAGAGTCCTGATTTCTGGTCCAACATGCCCTGTCCTTGTACGGTGGACACATGTCCTCATTGGCCAGATCCCCTCCAAGAAGACAGAGCTCTTCTGCCATCCCTGTGCTTTCTCCAGGCCAGCTGAATACCAACTGTAGACAGGCGATGTGGGCATAGATGTGGGCCCATATAGTCTTCCAAGGCCAAAGGTATAGGAAGATAGCCCTGAACAGCTCCCATCATGCCTGCTGTGTGTATAGAGCTTGCCAACCTTTTGGCTCAATTGACACGATTGCTCTTCCTGGGGCAAGGGGGTGGGGCGGGGGCAGGGAGACAGGCCAAGAAAGGTCTCTGTCACAAAGAGAGAGACCAGTGTATGACTCTCGATGATGATTGTTTGTGTGAATGGCTGGGAGACATGTGGGGGCCGCCAGCACCAGCAAGTTGGCAGGTGAGTTTGAAACTATAGAAGTATCCAATGCATTATGGTTAAGGCCCCTTAGTGCAAGATGGGGTGGGCGTGTCTAAAGGCAAGCTAACCTGGAGGTGATCACCTGAAATGGTTCTCTCCCTGGATTAAAAGGAAGTCTGAAGAGAGGTGGCCCTGGTTTTCTTCTTCCCCTTCTTTCTTTGGGTGCTCTGGTGTGTTTTGCTGCGAAATGGACAGGACAATGAGTATGTCAAATCCATCTTGCCTTAGGGCCACATAGGAGATATGGCAGGGTGAGGCTGGTGTGAGCATTTGTCACAGTTGTTCCTTGGGGTGATAATGGATGAGCAAGTCTTTGGGTAAGCCGGGTTCCCAGGCTGGTACCTGCCAGCAAATGTGAACTTCTAGAGTTTGGGTGTCAGAGCTAAAAAGAAGAGGAAGACCTGGTCTTCCTGCATCCTTGGGAAACACCCAAGCTCCCACGTAAGCCAGAGAAGGCTGGGGGCTGTTCAACTTTGTGAGGGCTTCATGACGTAGGGCGCAGGTGTTAAGAGTTTGATGTCTTTTCCCGTGCTTGGCTGGGCCTTCCTGACCCTTGTACTGGGACTGGAGAATAAAACTTGGTTTGCGTTACAAGATGTGCACTGTGCTTGGAGTCTGGTGAGCAGAGTGGTAGGAGAAATGGGCAGGCTTCATGCAAAGCATGATGGGGGCTGAGGGAGGGGCGTAGTAGGAAAGAAGATCAGATGTGGTCTGCAGAGGCCACCCTGGGCCGGGCACAGGGCTACACACAGTTGAATCACCCACTGCATCTCTACCAATACTGCCAGCCAAAAACCCACTAGACGCTAGAAGAACTACACTCATTGACTGTACCTAAGAGGCTTGACCTTAGAAGAAGGTAACATTCTCCTAATCAAACCCTTAGCATTCTACTGTGGAGGTTCTTGTTCTGTCACTTTAACTTCATTCGCTCGCTGGCCCTTTAACTCCCAAATTAACCCCGCTATGCTGCTTTTGGCATTGCTGAGCTTCTGACCTGGCCTATGATAATGTTCATACTGCAATGAGTTCTCCTCTAATCTTTGGTTGGTTTAATTTACTAAGTTGCATTAACCTTGGATTCTTGTGTTTTCTATATTGGACCTAATTTTTTTTTCTTTTTATCTATTTTTTTCCCTCTGTTTCTGTCTCTGCCTTCTCTTTTCTTCTCCCCGACCCTGACCCCTTCCTGTGTCTGTCGTCATACCTGTCATCTTGGACGTCACTTGGGACATCCCCACTGCCACGTCTATTTTTCAACCAACTACACTCTCTGTGGGGACCCCCCCCACCCCATTGCTTGACAATGCAGCCACTTTGGGAGGCACCTCTGCGTCCTACACGTTTGTCTCCTTGCTTTTCTCCGCAGTGACTCTTCTTTTGCTCTGTTAGGAACTTGAACAGGAGGATTCCGTTTGCTTCAAAGCCCCCCCCAGATCCTATGGAAATGACCGGTGCCCCTCCCCCCCTTTGGAAGAACCTTGTCAGAGCCACTGTAGCTTGGCCATAGCCTCTGAGCGAGCCGCGTTCAGTGTGGAAGAGGAAAGTTTTGCATTGGGAAAAGCTTTACCTCCTGACATTTCTGCCCTCCACAGACCCTCCTGTGCCACTTGATAAGGAGTCTGCCCCTTTGTCAGAGCAGTTAACAACAGCAGCAAAAAAAAAAGAGAGAGAGAGAAGAATCTGAGCACTCTTTCTTTATCGCTTTTTTTTTTTTAAAAAAAGCATCATACTAGGTTTACAGAGAAGTTTTTACATATCTGCTACTTACTGCATTTTTTGGTTCATATCTAAATTAGAGCAGAAGGAGAATTCTAAGTCTTTGGAAAGCTTGTCTCAGATTATTGAGATCAACACAGCCCATCTCATTCTAACCCATTACCTCTCCTCCACCCCCAGGAAGTAACTGATTTTGCTTACCCATGTTGGAAGATCTAGATGTGGTGATCCATTGAGCACTCTGCTGATAGGATAGGCCAATCGAATGCCCCTGTGGCCCATGCACTGGGGGACAAACAATTGGATACTGTTAGATAAAGTCTGAGGGGGGGACTGATGAATGTTCTAGAATGCCAGTTCTATCACCTCTGTGAACAGGGCAAAGCCGTTATATGTCCCACACATGTCAGCTTTGAAAGGTGTTTATTTCCCAGATGTGTGACTCCACTGCTTCCCAGAAGCTTGGGTAAGGGGTGGGCCTCTGGGTTCCTGGGGTTGTTGACCAGCCATGACCTGCACCGTGGCTATAAGCATAGTGTGTAGGACAGGTTAGAGGCACCCACTGTGAATGAGACGAGAGGTTTCTACTTTCCCCAAACATGCTCGCAGCTGTACGCGCGGAAGGTCGGGCCCCTACCAGAGTGCTCAAAGCCACCGTATCAATAAATTCAGGTGGAGACTGTGGCCACTTCCACCGTGCCCGAGCTTGCCTTCCCTATTGGTGTCTTGGTTTGATGATACGTCTCAAAGTCTCATGAAAAGCTAAGTACCCCTGTCCGCTATTGGGGAAGGAGATGGATGGTTTTCCTGTGTCTGTCTTGGACGCAGGGCTGGGTCCTGCTGGGTCATGGGATGGACCTTCGATGGGATAAAATCTCCCGCACTGTCATTCTCCCTGTCTCTTCTCTGACCATTTCCACAGAAGTTGGATTTACATTCTCTTTAGGTTCTTTTTGTATATTTTTTTTCTGTTGCTTTTTTTTTCTTTAGTGTTCAAAAATTAGCCTTCAAAACTAGCCTTGAAATAACCCCACACTGTGGTTCTCTGGTCAAAGACCACCTGTTGGCATCCGCTGGTGCCTCCAGCGGTCAGTATAGAGACTCCATACTGCTCACTAGCTCAGGCAGGCAGTGCCATCTGCCCAGGCCGGAACCTCAGCAATGGAGCCCTGGGCCTCTTTCCGAAATAGTTCTTAGACACAGGGTAAAGCTGTAGAGAACAGAAACCTGGAGTGAGAATTATAGATGAGTTAAGGAAGACGGTCGTGAAGGCAGGAGAGGCCCTCATCCCCTGGCCATTCCGATTGGTTAGAAGCCACTTGCCTTCATCATCCTACGGGAAGCCAGCCCAGGCTTCTACCTCAGTCTGATCCCAGGTCCATCCACAGTGTTACTATTTCTAAAAGGACCTTTGAAGATCTATCCCTACATGAGAGATCTAGACACCGCCCTGATGCCCTCAGCACAACCCAGGGCCGCAGCCCTCAGCCACCTCTTGGTACCTGCTGGTGATAGATCCAGGGTTCAGTTATAGAGAGAGCATCCATGCTGCTCAACAGCTCAGATAGGCAGAAACCTCTCCTGTGAAGCCTGGGCCTTTTCCCACCAGCACAGCAGAGCAGTGCATTTGTGGAGGGTCGTTGCAACCAATCCATTCAGACCTTTTGCTTATAGCTTACAGTGGTCCACCCCTTGGCAGACAGTGTCCACGCCCACCTGAGCACACCAGACTCTTGAGGTCCCGCCAGGAGTCCTTAGGAGAGGAACTCTCAGAGAGCCTCCTCAGCCTCCTGCCTCTGTGCCCTGCATCAGTGCCACCCCCACACGCAACCCGCCCGTGGGGGCTCTCTGCTCACTTTTGGAATATTTATACAGCAGGTTTGGATCACGTTTTTTTCTACTAATAAGAATGTTAACCATGTTGTGTAGATAATCAGCGAGGCCTTTATGAAGTTTACACCTTCGCATTATTAAAGGATATAACGGTTTGTGTGAACTCGCCGTTCGTGTGTTCTGATTTCTGTTTGCTCCATGTGTGCCCAACACAGTGTCAAAAGGCCTTTTCCTTCACCCCGCATCAACCCAATAGCCAGTTACCTGGAGAAACATTCACACTGGGCCTCACATTTGTAGCCTGAGACTGGAGTGCTGGCCAATGGAGATTTATTT